AAAATATAAAGATAAAAATATAAATAATAAAATAGAAAATAAAATAATAAAATAAAAGTAAAATAAAATAAATAAAATAGGTAGGAGTTGTCACTCGTCAACTACGTAAGTTACGACGTAGTCGAAACTGTTACAATAATTATCCACATCAAATATTGATTTCAATAACCTGTGATCCAATTTTAGCAATTTATAGCTTATTCGATTTCTCTCACTGATGCGAACATTTTGATAGTTGTTTCATTCAGATTGAACATCTTTACACCATGTTATTAAATAAAACATACTTAATCAGTAATAAAATTCTTTTATAATTATTCACATCAAATAATGATTTCAATAACCTGTGATCCAATTTCAGCAATTTATAGCTCATTCGATTTCCCTCACCAATGCGAACATTTTATCCAGATTGGATATCTCTACGTCATGTTATTAAATAAATAAAAAAAGAAATGTGGGAAAATTAAGGTAGATTTTTTAATCTGAATCTTTTGAACTTTTAAAAAGTGATCTATTAATTTGTGTTATCACAAATAATCCGTTAGATTGGCAAATTGGTTATCCACGGGTCACATCTCTAATTCACAGATTGAAAGAGTAATTCACGAATTAAAAGAGTAATCTGAGGATTGAAAGAATAATCTGGATTAAATCCTTTGATCCGCGAATTAATCTTTTAATCCGCGAATTGATATATATATTTTTTTTTTTTTAAAAAGTTTTAGCGAGGCTTTGCCTCAAATTTATTGACTAAAAAAAGAGAAAGTCTCCTACATTAATATTACATAATATAAGATACACAACTTATTCTAGTAACTAACGAAAAGATGAGACTCAGACTAATTCGTATTGTCAATCCTAAGATTAACACGAAACACACCTGCAACCTACCGCCATATTATGTATTATTATTATTATTATGTATTATTAATTAATATCATTATAAAAAAAAAAAATTAAAATGTAAGATCAATACTTTCATCACAATTAAAAAAGATAAAATTGAAAATTACTTCTTATTTTTATTTCTTTCACTATACCATTCTCTAAACCTTTTTTGTAATATTGATAATTTACTTTCATTAAATCCTTTTTCAACTTCAAGGCTTTCTTGATAGCTTATAACTTTTTTTAGTACATCAATTACTTCTATTATAGTTATTGGAGGAGGTGGTGGTGATCTTTTTTTATTATCTGATTCATCATCGCTATTACGAAATTCATGAATAACCATTTCAATAATATCTTCATCAGTTAATACATCTTCAGTTTTAGTTAGTTGATTAATCAGGCAAGTATATTCTTCGATATCTTGTATTAATTGTTGATCATCAAGTAGCAAGTTGATTTTTAATTCATGTTCACTTATTTCAAATTCATCTATTTCAAATTCATCTATTTCAAATTTATCTATTTCGAGTTTATCTATTTTAGGCATAATTCTAGTAGTTCTCCAGTAATTTTTTATAGTGGTATTACTAATATTATTCCAAGTTTCAGCAATAAAATCAATTGCTTTTCTCAAGGAAAGTTTTCTATATTTAATAAAAAATAAATTAAAATAAAATTAAAAAAATAATATAAATTGTAATACTGTAACAGATTTATTTTTTTTTGTCATTATTTCTTTTTAAGTAACTGAATTATCCAATATATAAAAAAAATTTTTACTCTTGTTTTTGATTTTTTTCAAATTGATCAATTAAATACTAGCAATATAGCTTTTTATATTTTGATTTAAAGCTATGAATAATGCCAGCATCTATGGGTTGAATATGAGCAGTTATATTTGATGGAAGAAAATGTACGGTAATGTTTGAAAGGCCTGAAGTTTCTCTCAGTCTTTCTTGCTGTCTTCCTTGTGGTCTTTCTAGTGACCTTTCTCGTGGTCTTCCTCGTGATCTTCTTCATGGTTCTTCAATTTCATCGATGGATTCATTTTCAGATGATCGCTCATCTGCATCATCATCTTGATTATCTTGAACATTATTTGTTTCCAGAATCATGTGAGAAGTCGCATTATCAACAAGAAGCAAAACCTTTCTACCTTGGATACGAAAACTGTTATCTATATAACGTAACCATTGTTCTCAAATATCACTTCTCATCCATGTTTTTTTGTTATTTTTATATATTACTGATAATTGAGAAATATTTATTTTATTAAAACATCATGGCTTTTTAAAAGTACCGATGACTAATGGACGAAATTTGTGAGAGCCAGTTAAATTTGAGCAAAGTAATATAGTTGCTCTTACTTTTTCTTAAAAAATTTAATTATTAATTTAATTAATTTTTTTAAATTATTAATTTTTTTTAAATTATTAATTTTTTTTTTAACTTACCTTTTTTTTTCAGCCATTGATTTTGTAGAAAGTGTTTGATTTAGAAGTAATCGATAGAATAAACCTGTTTCATCAGTATTATATATATCTTCTGGATCATAATTAGAGAGAAGTTCTTGTAATTTTTTCCGTTCTTCAGATAAGTTTTCTAATGGTGTACTTGCTGCTTCACCATGCATTATAATTTTTTTAATCCATTACGCTACTTAAATTTACACTGGTCGAAATAGGGAATATCGGACACCTATCGTATGCCTATCAGGAGCCAGATAGGTATACGATAGGTGTCCGATATCAACAATTATGTAATATATCGGGCACTCGATTGGTGGGGTCGAAATGTAGAAGTTCAGGTACTTATCAGGCCCATATTAGTTTCATATCGGATATTAATATTTTGACATTTTATTCAAATTCATCATTCATATATTGGTATATGTGTTATCCAAATCCCAAATTACTAGTATTTGGGATTTGGGATTTGGGATTTGGGATTTGGAATTTCAGCATTTGGGATTTCGGCATTTGGATTTTGAATTTGGGTGGCAGGTATATATATCGGGCACCTGATTTTATTTATTTTTTTTATCGGGTACATATCTTTTATAAATCGGTCATAATATATCTCTATATATCGAGTACAGTATATCTCTGTGTATTAGGTAGTTTTTTTCCCTCTATCAGGTATCTATCGGTACCTTTTATTTATATATATATATATATATTCACTTTTTTTTATTTGCAAATAATCATAATTTTAGTTTATTATAAAAAAAGATAATAAA